AGGGGACTACATGGGGTGCCTGGGTATTGAACTCAGGTTGGTTGCATGCAAAGTAAATGCCCTACCCACCATACTTTTTTTGCCCCTCTCTTTTTTTTTTTCTATTTATTTATTGAATCACTGTGGGAAAGGTTACAAAGCTTTCAGGTTTAGGTCTCAGTCATGCAAATATCAAACACATTTCCCTTTACCAATACTTATTTTTTACCATGAAGAACCCCAATAAAACCCCACCCCCCACCCCTCCCCGTCCCTGTGAGGCAGATGAATTCTAGTTAACACTCTATCTGCTTTGATTAGATTCACTGTTTCAATAAAAGATTCACCACTATTATTTAGAGTTTACCCCCCCCCCCCCCCCCAAATCAGACATGCTGAAAAAGTGTTGTGAAGTGATTTGCTTTCTACAGCTGGGTTCAAGAATTAAATGTTGGTTTTGGATTTCTGCTATTTTACCTATTGACCCTGGAAGTATTTCTACTGAAAGTCAGATAGTTAAGAAATTGGTTTCTGTGTTCTGGAGTCGTGGCCGTGCTGGAGAGCCGCTCGTGGGGGGCAACCGGTGACCTCGGTAGGGCGTGAAGGACGGACCGGAACGCCCCCCGACCCATGAGGTTTTAGTCGCCCCCACTCCCCCGGCTCATACCTGCTGTCCACAAGGCTCCCATGTGGCCGCCATCTTTCTTTCCAGAGAGGAGAGGGCGAATGGGGCAACACCCTTTCCCCTCCGGCAGACTTGATGGGCTGGATCAACGCATAGTCCGTTCACTTTTCTGCTCCAAGCTGCTGGCTTCTGCATTAAGTCCTTGTGCTTCTGGGGCTGTGGCCGTGCTGGAGAGCTGCTCATGGGGGGCAACTGGTGGCCTCGGTAGGGCGTGAAGGACAGATCGGAACACTCCCCTTCCCATGAGGTTTTAGTCGCCCCCACACCCCCGGCTCATACCTGCTGTCCACAAGGCTCCCAAGCGGCCGCCATCCTTCTTTCCAGAGAAGAGAGGGCGAATTGCCCCTCTCTTTTGACCTTGTAAAAATGAAAGTAAAAAAGAACAGTCAAGACTTTCCTTTGTTTCCACTAACTTTATTTTTTCAGGGGGCTCCACACTTGACAGTGCTGGGTGCCACTCCAGCATTCAGGAGACCATGTAGTGCTTGGGATCAAATTTAAGAGATCCCACTTGCAAAGTATGTGTTCTAGCCCTTTGAGCCACCTCCCCAGCCCATCACTTGACATTTTAAAAACAACACTAAGAATTTGGATCGTTTTAAAAAATGAAATGGGCGTGGGTCCTGCAGAATTGTTCAGTGACTTAGAAGGCCTGCTCTGCAGCATAAGGCCTTGGGTTTAATCCTTGGTGCTGCCATCTGTGCCTCATGTTATCCTGGGAGCTCTGTAATCTCTGGGGCCGCGAATGATTTTTTGGCCGTGCTGTGGTCAGATGAGCGTAATCTTTGGCACCAGGAAGTACAGCCCCTGGTCAGCACATGTGTGACTACTACAGCAAGTCATGGTGAGTGCTACAATCCAAACATGAACAAACCCTTGAACTAAAACATGTGCAAGCATCATAGCCACATTGCAACCCCAAGTCATCACAATTACAGCTAATAAAGGAAACAAAGGGAAAAGTAATTTTTTTGATTAAAAGTAAATTGGAGTATATCAAACAGAAATTTGTCAACAAAGAATAGTCTTTTGGAATATAGTACTGATTGCCCTAATTAAGACGGAGAGGTAAGAAAAAGCAGGGGCCAGGAGTACTGATCAGTGGTTGGAAGCTACTACCAAGTATGGGGTGCAGAGAACAGTTAGGATAAAGAAGGGACCAGTATGACAGTAGTAGTCAGAAACCATCACTCTGGACAAGAACTGAGTGTTGAAAGTAGGTAAAGGGGTATACGTGATGACCTTTCAGTCTCTGTATTACAAACCAGAATGCCCAAAAGGAAAGAAGGGGGGAGGGAGGGAGGGAGGGAGAGGGAGAGGGAGAGGAATACCGCCTGCCATGGGAGCAGGCGGGAGGGAGGGAAACTGGGGATGTTGATGGTTGGGAAATATACACTGGTGAAGGGACGAGGGTTGACACATATGATTGAAGTCCAATCAAGAACAACTTTGTAACTGTATCTCACTGTTATTCAATTAAAAATTATGTAAAAAGATAAAAGGACTTAGAGGAAATCACCAAATGACTAGGTAGTTTCCAAACAGTCGGACTCTCCTGGCATCCGATGATTAACTCCCGGGTAGGATACTTGTTTTGTGCACTTAGAGGAAATAATAGAATTTCCTCTGACCCTTCCCCATAAATAAAAATCATACAATATAGAAATAGAGCAAACCAAGCAAAACCATAAGTTACGTCACATGAGAATAGCTGACGGTTACTAGAGGAGAGAACGGGGTTTGGCTACAAAAGAGCCGTGGGAGGGATTCATTGTGTGGTGACGGACGGAGAATGGACTTGCTGAAAATCATGCTGAGTAGTTACGTGCTTTGTGGTTCTGTGGCATGATGCATTATATACACAGATGTCAAACTTAAATGCTGTACATCTGGGCTAGAGAGCTAGTGGGCAGGGGTTAAGGTGCCTGCTTGTGCTTCCAGCTCAGGTTGGTTGCCCAGCATTGCATAGTGATCCCTGGACTCAGGTCTAAGAGTAAACCCTGCGTACCTCCTGGTATGGTCCAGTGCCCTCCCACTGCCAAATGGACATCATTTTTGGTTAGTTTGGGGGCCATACTTTGCTGTGCTTAGGGCTTACTCCTGGTTGTGTACCCAGGGCTCTACTACCCCGGCTGTGCTCAGCAGGGCTTCTGTGATACTAGGAAATAAACCCAGGTTGGTGGTGTTCAAGACAAGTGCCTTGTTATTCAGGAAGATGCAGAATATAAACCAATGGCAGATACTATCTATGAATGTATAAAACAGAAACAAAGCAGTACCTATGTGGATGATGCTCAGTAAGAGATTATGTGTTGGGTAAAAGAAGGGAAGAACTGCTAATGTATATATGCAGATTTAATTTTTATGCTCAGTATGTTCATAATTGAAAATTGAAAAGAAATGAGCGCAGTATCTCTCTTCTCATGCAAGACTAGGTGCGTAATCAGATCTAGCAGACTGATTGTTAATGACTCCTGGAGCTCTTTTCTGACCCACTCAGTGACTCACTAGGAGTAGCGATGGGAATCTGGGTTTAGATTCTGCAACAGAACTATTCTACAAATGCTAGTTCCTGATCCTAGAGGACTACCATCTCTTTTGTCCTTTTATGTGGAACTTTGATTAAAACTGTCTACAATTATATTCACTCTTGGGAACAAGGAGACCAAGCCGGAGAGGATTTTAAACATATTAGAGAAGAAGAGGTGAAGGAACAAAAAAATGTTTGACCTTCAGTATAGAAAACTTGGAGTAGTTGTCAAAATTTGCAAAGTAGGCTTGGATACAGAAATGAAGTTAACTTCAGTTTCTCTGTAGTCTAGTGGGTAGAACCAGCTTTGGACCTAAGTAAGAAAAGGTTGTTTGATAATTGGATGGTTTGCTTTTGGGAATTGTAAATGCCCTAATCTTGGAACCAGAGGCTTTCGGGGGAGTTAGAGGGAATTGCCCCAACAACTGGAAGGTTGGCATAGGTGAAAGATCTCTTAAGTATTTAAGGTTATTTTTTCCCCTTTGTGATTGTTTATTTTCACACAAGTATTACAATTTTCTGTGTTTTTTTCTGCGATTAAAATGGGATCCATTAGTAAACTTTTTTTCTGAAACAAGTATTTATTTCCCGATTCACCTCAAATTACGTTTTAGAAGGTCTTCCCCCTCCCTTCCCAGAAGAAATATATTTCCATATTCTTAGTACTGTCATGAATCCACCATATCTGAAGGATATATATGGGATATTTGCTTTTTTTGTTAAAATAAGCAATTTTATTTATCACCGATATTCTACATTTTAATTTTTAATAGTACCAGAAAAGTACTTTCTTTTGTTGTTATTTTTGGGCCACACCTGGTCGTGCTCAGGGCTTACTCCTGCCTCTGTGCTCAGGGATCATTCCTGATGGGACTCGGGGGACCACAAAGTGTTCCAGGGATCAAACCCAGGTTAGCCGTGTGCCAGGCAAACACCAACACCCCCTGTATTATTGCTCCAACCCCAAAGTACTTCTCTATCTTAACAATATTTCTAGTTTTATTTCTGAAAGTTTTGGGCTCTTCTATGAAACTGAAGATTGGAAAACTTAAGATCTTTTTATTACTTATTTATTTATTTTGGTTTTGGAACCACACCAGGTATACTCCAGAGCTACTTCTGGCTCTGCACTCAGGAATTACTCCTGATGGTGCTCAGCGACCATATGGGATCCCAGGGATTAAACCCAGGTTGGCTGTGTGCAAGGCAATCGCTCTAACTGCTGTACTGTCTCTCCGGCCCTTAATATGATCTTTTTAACCAAAGGTCATTTGACATTATTTAGAAAATGGATTTGCTCGATGCGGGCACCAGTAACGTCTCACAACAAATTGTGAGGCTTGTTGTTACTGTTTTTGGCATATCAGATGCATCACAGGTAGCTTGCCAGGCTTTGCCGTGCGGGTGAGATGCTCTTGGTAGCTTGCCAGGCTCTCTGAGATGGGCAGAGGAATGGAACCCAGGTCAGCCGCATACAAGGCAAACAAACGCCCTACCCACTTTGCTATCACTCTAGATCAACAGATACTACTAATTAAAAGTCTCACAACAGAATTTCTCCTGTTAGGACAAAGGAAATTTTATACCTCCAAATTGAAGGGTACTATGTATGTGTACTTGTTTAGTGTCTCTTTTCCAAGTAGCCATACTCTAAAATATACTAGCCTGCAGGATATCATATATGTGCTAAAAGAAGAATTTCTGATAGGAAGTCCTGGTGCCTAGTTAAGATTATTGATTGTAAAATGTTTTAGCAATTTCTTGTAGCTCTTTTCCCCAATGTTAATAGAGTTTTGTTTTTCACAGAAAAATTTTGAAAGACCTATCTTCTGAAGATACCCGGGGCAGAAAAGGAGACGGAGAAAGCCCTGGAGTTTCTGCTGTCACTTCTATGTCTGTTCCAACTCCCATCTATCAGACTAGCACTGGACAGTACAGTATGTATAGGAATCAATTTCTCCGGGGTTGACACACAATGACTAACCTTTCCACAGAAAGAAGTGGTATACAGAAAGGCTGTTACACATTGTCTTTTGGGTCAGGGGTTGAGCAGCACCATGGTGGTGCTCAGGGGATACTCCTGGCTCTGTGCTTGGGAATTGTTCCTGCTTGTGTTAGGATACACCAGATGCTGCCAGGAGTTAGTCACATGCCAGGGAAGCACCTTCACCCCTATATTTTCCAATTTGAGTGAGATTATTAGAGTATAACATTTTGAGTCAGAATAATGCAAAGTACTTTCCTATTTTATCTCATTTACTCCTTTTAACAGTTTTGAGAGGTGGGATCTTACCCATTTATAGCTGAACTAACGCTTTAAGTGTTAATGTCTTTAAGATCAGAATGTTTATAAATGATGGAACTAGATTTCCATTTTAGGTTTGTAGAAGTCTAGATTACAATTTTACTATTTTGTCTCTTACAGCCTACTTTTAAAAAGTAGAGCCTTAATGCCAACAGAAAGTATTTGGGTTAGTTACGTAATAAAAGATTACACTTCGAAGATTGTACTATGATTTTCAAGTGATTATGATTAGTTTACAGTGTAGTATATCACATACCAGTCAAAATAATCAGAAACTAATCAATTTGAATAAACTGCTGTATGTGCTGGAGCGATAGCACAGCGAGTATGGCGTTTGCCTTGCACTGGGCTGACCTGGGTTTGATTCCTCCATCCCTCTCAGAGAGCCCGGCAAGCTACCGAAAGTATCCCACCTGCACGGCAGAGCCTGGCAAGTTCCTTGTGGGATATTCGCTATGCCAAAAACAGTAACAACAAGTCTCACAAAAGAGATTTTACTGGTTCTCGCTTGAGCAAATCAGTGAACAATGGGAGGACAGTGCTACAGTGCTGTGTGTGAAAATATTGTTATAAAGATCAAATGTTATTCTTGCTTTTTAAGAGGAAAGCGTTCAGTTAGAGGAAACAGACTGAGAGACAAAAAATGCCTACCATGTACAGAAATGTAGATATCGCTGTCTAACATCAAGCATTTACTTTGCTTGTATTAAGACTTGCAAGGTGGAAAGGGGTTTCCCTGGCAATTCTGGGGGCCACATCAGCATATCCAGAGGTACTTGGGTGACCACATAGTGCTGGGGAATGGACCTGGGACCCTCTGCACACAGGCAATGTGTTCCTGCCCTTTGAGCTGTCTCTCTGACCCTCAGCACTTTTTGTTTGTTTTTGTTTTGGGGCCACACCAGGCAGTGCTCAGGGACTACTGCGGACTCAGGGGACAAAATTGGATGCCAGGGATCAAACCCAGGTTGCTGCATGCAAAGCAAGTGCCCTACTTACTATACGATCGGTCCAGCCCCACTTCGTTAATGTATCTCTAGTTTCATATATCATTATTGTGCATTAGTGTATTTCCTTTTTAGAATTTTCCTGGCTGTTTAAAATTCTTGTTTTATTTACAATTGACCCTCTCTTGCCATATAAGTCTTTAGTTTTGACAAATGCCTGGAACCGTCTTAACTAACACCACCATGACAGTTTTCATAACCTCAAGAAATTAATGTTCCACTTGTAATTAATTTTCCCTCCATTTTTAATCTCTGTGCTTCAAATTGAATTGGCTCTTGCCACAAGGTATGTCTGCTCTAACCTCTCCCACCACGCTGTCTTTATCACCACCTTGTCTCTATCTTTTATGGGCCATATCCAGCTGTTCTCAGTCTTAATTCCCTGGAGCATGCTCAGGCATTATCCGTGGCAGTGCTTAGAGTAAATGGGGTGCCAGAGATCAAATCTGGGTTGGCTGTGTGTAGACTGCTACATTATCGCTCTGGCCCCATTTACACTCTTGCGGTAGGCATCCAGTTGTTCCTCTTGCTTCCATTCTTTCAGTTTCTTTTGTGGCAGCCAAAGAAATTCATTTAAAATACCAATTGGATCACACCATGCCTGCTCAGAGTAGTTCTATGATTTTCCATTAAACTTGGAAATTATATTCAGTGTCTGCCTTTGTCTGCCACGGTGTTCCCCCCTCTTGCCACTTGATGGCATTCTCACCACACACTTTCTTGCTCTTTTTTCTCAAGCACATGAAACGTGTTTCTGCTTAAGAATCACTGTATTTGTCACATACTGCACTCCCACCTCCCCCACACCACTTTATTGCTAAGGTCCAGGCTCTCCTTTGGTTTACAATTATACTCCTTTTTATGTATGTTCTCAAAGACGGCACTTTGAAAGATCCACTGCCCTACCCTTTGGTATTTTTTAGGTTTTTTTTTTTTTTTTTTTTTTTTTGCTTTTTGGGTCAAACCTGGCAACGCTCAGGGGTTACTCCTGACTCTGCACTCAGGAATTACTTCTGGCGGTGCTCAGGGGACCATATGGATACCAGGGACCCCAACCCAGGTCGCAGGTCGCCCGCGTGCAAGGCAAACGCCCAACCTGCTGTACTATCACTCCGGCCCCTTTTTTAGTATTTTTCACTTTTTCTTTTTTTGGAGGGAGGGCACACCCAGCAGTGCTTTGGGACCCATGCAGTAACTGGGATCAGACTTGGGTCTCCCTCATTCAAACCAGAGCTTTGAGCCATCTTGCTGGCTCTTTCTTTACTTTCTTATATTTTAATAGCATTCATGCATATTTATAATTTACATTAATTTAGTTATAGATTTTGTAAAAATATAGTTTATGATCTGATCTCAGAATTGTTAAATTTCAAAACTAAGAACTTTGCCTTGCTTTTGGTTATATCTTTGTCCTAAAGGGTCTGGCACAAAGTAGGCCTTTCAGGAAAAAAAATTATGAATTATTTAAAGAATATATTAAATATATATTTATGTGTATATATATATATAATGTGTATATATATGGGTTAAAGATGTGACAAGTGGTAGAGTGCATGCCTAGAATGTGTGAGGTTCTGGGTTCCATCCATCACAGCGTGTGCCCACATCAAGTAAAAAACAAAACAAAACAGATCACGTCTGTGAAGTTATATAAGTTCTTGGTAATAGTGTTTCAGGGAAGGAAGTGTGGGAGGAGGCAGTTGAGAGGTTCATTTTTCATTTTAAATTATTGGATGGAGAGGTAATATAGCATTTGTCTTACATGTTTCTGACCAGGTTTGATCCCTTTATCCCATATGTTCCCCAAGACCTGCTGAGAGTGATTCCTGAACACAGAGCCAGGGTGTGCCCCCACCCCCCCCAAAAAAAAGCTTTTAAAAAGTGAATTAAGTATAGGGATCGGAGCTATAGTACAGTGGGTAGGGTGCTTGCTTTTCATGCTGACAACCTTTCACTTGCCTTACATGCAGTTCTCAGCACCACATACAGTTTCCTGGAAGTGATCCCTGAGCACAGAGCCAGGAGTAAGCCCTGAGCCTTTGTGGGCCTCTCAGGGAAAAAAAGGAAACTGTATCTAAAACCCATTGTCCTAGTGTTGCTTTGTATCATACCTTTGCAATCAGTGTATTGTACAGGCTTAAAATAGCTATGTTCTCTCTTTGGTTCAAGTTGCCATTGCCCCAAATGGAGCCTTACAGCTGGCCAGTCCAGGCACAGATGGAGTTCAAGGACTTCAGACATTAACCATGACAAATTCAGGCAGTACTCAACAAGGTACAACAATTCTTCAGTATGCTCAGACCTCTGATGGACAGCAAATACTCGTGCCCAGCAACCAGGTGGTTGTGCAGAGTAAGTATGCTTAAAAGTGTCTGAAAAGCATCCCAAATTACTGTGAACGACTCTTAACGGATTTCCTCACTCTTTTGACCGCACAGCTGCATCAGGAGATATGCAGACGTATCAGATCCGCACCACACCTTCAACTACTTCACTGCCACAGACTGTCGTGATGACATCTCCTGTGACCCTCACATCTCAGTCAACTAAAACAGATGATCCCCAGTTGAAAAGGGAGATAAGGTTGATGAAAAACAGGTAGGTGGAATAACTATGCTGCCAGAATGGATCATGTTTTTGAAAACCTCAAAGATCTAATCAGATGTCAATTGACACTGTATGTTAGAAATAAGGAGAGAAGCTTTTGTCAGTTTTATTTTATTGAATGTTAGATGTGTCTGGTTATTTTATAGCAAGAGGAGGAAAGAGTGGATTCTGTATAATGCCTAATGTACTTACATTCTGACACAGAAATGCTCTTAAAATATTTTCAGTGATGAAGAAACAGCAATGATTCAGTCCCTCCAAGTACTTTTATTTTCAACTTTCTACTATATATGCAGCAGGCATGAAAAACTTTTTTATAGAAAAGGAATATGATATGCCACCTATAATGTGTTCAAGGAAAAAAATAATGAAGTTTATTAGGAACAACAACAAAAAGTAAACTACCACAGCACAGCAGATTTTTAAGGAATACAGGGCTAAGAGAAATAATATAGTGCTTATATATGTCTTATATATGGTCGAACCCCGACATCACGTAAGTCTTCCTGAGCACTGTCACCAAGAGTGACTGTTAGGCACAGAACTAGGAGTAAGCTCTGAACTCCCCGATATGTCCCCCCAAAAACACCAAAGCCCACAAAAACAACAACAGGATTCTTTTTTTTAATCTCTTCACAAATAAATTAAGAAAGGTGGTTTTCTAAGATTAATAAAAAGTTCCATAAAAGGACCAAATAGTTACATTTAATTATTTTAAGATAAAATGTTTCTTTACAGAAACTGACAAACATCATTGCAAATGAACTTGGTAATAAAGCAGGGCACCTTTGTTGTTTTGGAGGTTTTACCAAGTATAGTAAGATGAGGAAATAAAATTATAAATATTAGAAAGTTAATACTTCTTTTTCTGTTACAGTTGTGTAGGTAACTTGAGACTTGTTGAAAATTACCAGAGCAAGACTGGTCAGACAGTATGACCTTAGCTACGTAATGTTTTATGGAACTTAATGAAAACGTAAAACATTCTTTCAACTGAGCTTGGTGAGGGTGGATGGGAGAGGTCTTGGGGGGCAGTGATACGGGGAACAGGCACTCTGGTGCTGGCTATGGTGTTGGGACAATCTGTACATGAAAATACCACGTGTTATATTGAAAATCATGGTATCTCAATAAAAATGGGGAGAAGCAAAAACTGTTCTTTCAAATGATTGAATGAACCAGCAGGAAAGTAACAGAAATTTCTCTTGGTTAGGAGAGGACCAGAAACATAAGGCGAGAAATTCAGATCTCTGTGATCATTTAGTTTAGCGTTAGTGTGCTGAGCACTGCACAGGCTGGAAGAATGGATCAGAATTATCCTTCATAGAGCCAGAGGGATAGCACAGTGCTTATCATTTGCCTTGCAAGCAGCTGGCTCTTAGTCAAGTCCTAGCACCATCAGGAGTGGTCCCTGGTGATCTAGCAAGAAGCCCTGAGCACTGCTGGGTGTGATCCCAAAACAAAAAGGTTTCCAGAATGAGTCTTCATAGAATAAGAGCCAAGAAGTGCTGCAACTCTAACTTAAGAATTGTCATTGTAGGGGCCTGAGAGATAGTACAGCGGGTAGGACACTTGCCTTTCTTGGCACACAGCCAACCCGGATTTGAGCCTTGGTATTCCCTGTGGCCCCCCCGAACCTGCCAGGAGTGATTCCTGAGTACAAAGCCAGGAGTATCCCCTGAGCAATGCCAGGTGTTGCCCTCCCCCCCAAAAAAAACCAAAAAGTGCCGTCGTTTTAGGGGCCAGGGAAACAGTACAAAGGCTAAGGTGCTTGTCTTGCAGAAGACCTCAAATCTTGTTCAAGAACCATATGTAATTCGCCCCTGCTGCTTTACCAGGAGTTTCCCCGAGCACTGCCGGGAGTGTTGTCGACACCCTGTCTGTCCCCTCCGAGCCACCCCCTACCCACAACAGAATAGTTATAATTTAGAGCTCGTTCGTGATGTCAAGCGTTTATGGAATTTTCACCGACTAATTTTAGGTGCTACTGTTTCAGTTTTTTGAGATTAGTGTAAGAATTCGAGAGAAAACTATACTTGCCCAGGACTATACTGCTTTCAGAGTACAGAGTCTTAGACTAACTACATTGCCTTTTGGGAGCAAGAGTTTCTAGAAAAAGCGAACTGGAAAGAGTACAGCGAAGTTTTTAGTTATCTGATAGAAAAAGGGAATAATACATATTTTCTATGTTTAGAGTGAACTAGGGTTTACCACTGAAAATCAGGAAAGATTAGTAAATTATAGAAGAAAAAATTGGAAGAATTGAAAATAAATTATATTCGCAAAATAAAATGGTATTTATTACCAAAAATATACTCATCTGCTTAGAATATCCAGGAGAATCAACTCCAGACTGAGAATCTGAAAAAGAATCCATTCTCTTTAACATTGTACTGGAAACCCTTGCCAGGTACTAAAACAAGAAAAAGGAGGGGATTGGGCCACAGGATAAATGACAAGGATTTAAATGAAAGAAGTAAAACTTTTAAAAAGTATTCCTTTCATAAAAAAAAAATGAATTTAAAGAAAAGAATATTTTAAAATTTGCTAGATATAAAATTAGGTTTCAAAAATTTTAAGGAAATTGCATTTTTTTACAGGAACAATAAATTTTGGTAATTATTATTAAAAAGATAATATTTATGTTAACAGATACCTGAGGAAAAATGTCTAATGAAAGATTCCAGGATATTTTATGAAAAATATTTTAAAATGTAAAAGACATGGAAAAATTTACTATGTCCTTAAAAATGGAAACTCATTATTATAAAGATGATTATTTTTCCCCCAATTATTCATAGATTCAATGCAGTTCCAAACAAAACTCAGACAGGTTGTTTGACAAACCTGACAAGTTGATTCTAATATTTATAGAAGAGTAGTGGGCCAAGAACAGCCAAAACATTCCAGACAAGAATAAGGTGAGGAGATACTATTTTGCTTAAAGTTGTGGCTATTGAAAGTGGGACAAATGGCATTAAGGTAAATAATAAGGTAAAGGTAAAGGCCCTCCCATTGATCGTCGATTTGCTCGAGCGGGCCCAGTAACGTCTCCATTGGAGACTTTGTTGTTACTGTGTCTGGCATATCGAATACTCTCGGTAGCTTGCCGGGCTCTCCGAGAGGGGCGGAGGAATCGAACTCGGGTCGGCCATGTTGGCCGCTTGTAAGGCGAACGCCCTACCGCTGTGCTATCGCTCCAGCCCAAGGTAAATAATACGACCAATGAAATAGTATTCAAGAGCTCAGAAACTGATGCAGGAACACAGGAAACCTTGATCTACAGTTGAGATTACTTGGGGGGACTAAAGAGCTCTTTAGTCAGTGTGTACTAGAGTAAGTGTTTACAAGTATATGAAAAGTGTAGTGGATTTCTTCTTTATGCAGAAAAATCACCCCAGGTGAATTCTAAAATATAAATGTAAATAGGAAGTTACCAACTTTCAGGTAAAAATGTAGAATCTGATAATTTTAGGTGTGGGAAAACATTCTTTAATTAGAAAAATAGCATATACACAAACACTAATAGAAAAGATTGATATATTATTAAACAATAGTAAAGTGAAGATTGAAACTTTAAATTTAATATAAGGCATTTGTAACAAGCCTAGCTATTAAAAAGCATTTGTTTAAAGGAAATAAATATCTTTTGTTTTCATTTTTGTTGTGGGCCACTTCTGGTGGTGCTGGGGTTTCTCTGTTACTTTCCTCTGAGAGGTGTTCAGAGAACCTTGCCGGGTCAGACTCAGGGTTTCTGCGTGCAAAGCATGCACTCCAGGGTTTTGAGCTGTTGCCTAGTCCTGAATCTTTATTAATGAATTTAAACTAATGAATATAATCGCAGGGGAAGGTATCAAAGGATTAGCACAATGTACAGTATTTCTCAGAAAACATGTGGTTGATAATCATTTAAAATAGTGCCCGTCCGTATCGGCGTTAACAAAATGGAATTAATGCCATGAATAGCTAACCATTTACCCAACTTGGAAAAATCTTAAAAGTCTAAACAGGAATCGGCGAAGGTCTGAACCAAAGAAACTTTATATATTATTTTTGAGAGTGTAAATTGGAATTGGCTTTATCATGTATCTGAGTTGACAGTGGGGCTTCAAGTGTGTGGACTTAGATAAACTTTGTCAATTATAATATATATGTAATTGTATATATTAGAGAGACTTTGTAGAAAGAATCATTACAAATGTTCATATCTGAGTGGGTAGGGCAAATTGCCTTGCATGTGACTGATCCAGGTTCGATCCTCGTTACCTTATAGGATCCTCTAGGAGTGATCCCTGAGCACAGAGCCAGGTGTAAGCCCTGAGTACCACCACATGTGGCCCCAAAACAAGTATAGCAAAAATTAGTAGGAAACTTCAACCTGTATGTCCATTGGTAACAGAATGATATATAAATTATGGTTGTATTTATATAATAACAATGTTCACTTACACTGATTTGAGTGAATGAGTTTACAGAAAATTCTTTAAAATTCTTTAAAAAGAATTTCATATTCAATATAAATATTGCTGAAGTAAAGTTGAATTAGAAAAGCAAGTTAAAACAGAATCAAAGTGTAATATTTTATAATTTTTAAATAAGTAAACTACGTTACATAGATAATTTAGGAGCGAACACATATGCAGTAAAACTTTGAAAATAACTGAATGAGTTCAGCTAGTAATTGTTTTGGAGCACGAGATGAGGATGTGGAATGAGTGAATGACAGTGGGGCTTCAAGTGTGTGGATAGTATTTTCTCCCTTTAAGAAGGGTATTGAGCTTACACATGACATTATTATGCTTTATAATTTTCACATCTATACGACCTATGATCTTTGTGTGTATGCTACTTACTAGAAAATTTTTTGTGGGAGGGGGAGCTTTGGGGGACCACATCTGGTAATGCTCAGGGCTCCTGGCTCTGTACTCGGGGATCACTCTGGGGGACCATGTGGGGTGCTGGGGATTGAGCCCAGGTCAGCTGCTTGCAAAGCAAAACACCTGACCTGCTTTACTATCACTGCAGTCCCTTAATAGCAAATTTTAAAAAATTTAGGTTTTGGGGTCACTCTCTGGTTTCTGGTGCTACTTCTGGCTATGTGCTTAGTGGTCACTCCCGGCAAAGCCCAGGGAAGCATATGAGATTGAAGCAGGGTCAGCAGGGCAAGCACCTCAATATCTGTTCTGTCTGTCCAGTTTGGGTTTCATTCCCCACACCAGAAAGAAAAATTATAATGGAAGTAGCGTTTCTTAAAGTACTTCAAAACAAATCTTAGAATAGGGAAAGACATAGAATCCACAATTCTCCCCCCATGCCCTTTCTTCCTTTTATTTTTATTTTTTGTAGTACCGGGGATTAAAACCAGGACTATAAGCATATAAGAAAGTACGGTATCACTTAGACACATCTTTGGCCAATGAAAACATTGATATTTAAAATAGTATCTGACCAAATGCAAAAGATTCTTTTAAAAAAATCTCTTTTTGGCAGGGGAACCATGCCTACTGGGCTCAGGGCCTACTCCTACTTTCTGCTCAGAGATCACGCTTGACAGTGCCCAGGGGGTCCATTTGTGGTGCTGGGGATCGAACCTGGGTCAGCTAAGTACAAGGCAAGGGCCTTAATCCCTATTTATCTCTTCTCCCCCCAAAATATAAAATACTATGTTTCCTTAGATGAGGAAGTTAAAATGTCAGTTCTTCCCCAAATATACATATAAACTTAATGGGATCCAATGTAGAATTTATAAATCTTTGTGGTCTTGGACAAAAATACATGGAAGAAACAAGTATCTATGAATGGTCAAGAACAGAAAGATGTTACTTGTAGTATTAGGCACTGATACATAACTCTAAAAGCCCATGCATGATAATAAATAAGATGGAGAATCTAGATACAGTTTCTGTGCCAGGTAAGTATGTTTGTAAAGGATGGCCATTTGATAAGTGGATCTGACACAGCTCCACGTCTGGAAAAAAATTAAATTCAGGGAAATGACTTAAAGGGTTGGAGCACATGCAAACACAGCTGGAGATCTAAGTACAAAGTTGAAAGCTGGGGTGGGCCCTCCCCCACCTCACCCCATCCCCATCCCCAGTTATTAAAATAGAATGTTATGCCTTGTACAAATCATTTTAGATGTATTTAAGGACATAATTCGTGGGGGGAGGAGAGGCGGTAAAGGGGGAATCAAGAGAAAGTATGTGTGTGGAATAAGAAAAAATGCCAGTAGTCTGGAGTCAGTGGGCAGGGCTCTTGCCTTGCATGTGGCTGACCCGAGTTTGATGCTTAGCTTTCCGAAAAGTTCCCCAAACACCGCCAGGAGTGATCCCTGTCCAAAGAGCCAGGAGTAAGCCCTGAGCACTGCTTGGACATAGCCAGAAATTTAAAAAAAAAAACATTATATAGATATAGGGGCGGAGGAATCGAACCCAGCTTGGCTGGGCCGGCTGTGCACAAGGCAAATGCCTTACCACTGTGCTATCGCCCTACCAGCGATAGCACAGCGGTAGGGCGTTTGCCTTGCATGCAGCCAACATGGCCGACCCAAGTTCGGTTCCTCTGCCCCCTCGGAGAGCCCTGCAAGCTACCGAGAGTATCTCGCCCACACGGCAGATCCTGGCAAGCTCCCCGTGACGTATTCAATATGCCAAACACAGTAACAACAAGTCTCACGATGGAGACGTTACTGGGCCCGCTAGAACAAATCGATGAACAACGGGAGGACTGTGACTGATATAGATATAGATGCATACACATCTCAGTCAAATGGAAGATTAGGAAAGAAGGCTACATGTGAGGATTAATGTATAATGCTGAAAGACTTCTTAAGTTATTTGTCTTTCTGGTAACTTCTAATTGTAAATGGGCAAAAGGTATGAATGGAAATGTATGAATGACAAAGGCAGCATACATGAAATCCAAAGGACCAGTTAGACTTTCCCAAAAAGATACTCAGTTTCAGAGGGACAGATACAGAAAGATTGCACTCCTTGTGGAATATAAAGTAACAAAATGGGAGACTAACACCCAAGAATAGTAGAGATAAGTACCAGGAGGATTACTCTACCGCTTAGAAGCCAGCTTTACATGCTGGGGGAGAGGCAGCTCAGATAGAGAAGGGCCCACCAAGTAAAGGGTGCGAGGAGAGCGTGCTTGGGATGCGAGATGCGTGCTGAAAGTAGACTCTAGATCGAACGTGATGGCCACTCAATGCCTCTATTGCAAACCACAACACCGGAAAGGAGAGAGTGAGCAGCAGGGAATGCCCTGACACAGAGGCGGGGTGGGGGGTGGGAGCAATGCTGAGACCCTTGGTGGTGGAAAATGGGCACTAGAGGAGGGATGGGTACTCGGTCAATGTATGACTGAAATGCAGGCATGAAAGTTTGTAAGTCTGCAACTGTACCTTACCGGCGATTCACTAATAATATTTTTTTTTTTAAAAAGATACTGTTTTTAAAACTTAAAAAAACACTTTTTAAAACTCAAAAAACAAAAATTAATTTAAAAATTAACAATGCCAAAAGTTAGCCAGAGGAATTAAAACTTTTGCTCTTTGTATTTACCGAAAGAAATGGGATATATGCCCACAAAGAAACTGGCACAAGAATATGTTTTTTTCAACTAAAACTAGAAGCCCAAGAGTAGATAAACAAATTGTGGTTCTATTCATACAGTGGAATACACCTAGCAATAGAAAGGAACAGGCCACCTTGTGTTAACGTGGATGAACCTTAAAAATATACTTAATGAAAAAAGACTAGACACAGGAATACGTACTGTACAATGTTGTCGCAGTCCTTGTCTCTAACGATAAGCAATCAGGACAGTAGTTGACGAGTAGAGGATTATCAGGAGCAGACAGGATAGCACTTTCTGGGGCAGCAGAAACGTGTGTCTTGATAGGGAAGTGGGTTATACTAGCAAAAGCATTTTCCAAAACTGATTTGAGTTTTGTACTTATTCTCTTGTGTATAGATGATACTTTCTGTCACTGTCACTGTCCTCCGTTGTTCATTGAGCGGGCCCTTCTGTATATATAACCTATTATAGATGATTGCTTAATTTCTTTTTAATAAGAAATGATGACCAGAGAAAATAACAAATGCATTTATTAGAGAACTTGAACCTTTTTCTTGGTTTTTAATTCATTTTCAATGCTTACATTTAGGGAAGCTGCTCGAGAATGTCGCAGAAAGAAGAAAGAATATGTGAAATGCCTGGAAAATAGAGTTGCAGTCCTGGAAAATCAAAATAAAACTCTAATAGAGGAGTTAAAAACTTTGAAGGATCTTTATTCCCATAAAAGTGTTTGATTCTTAGAAAATACTCATGGACTTGCCTAAAAATTAGATGAATTTCCTTTATTTTTAGTGGAGTTTTATAAATTAAAAGGTCAAAATTGAAGCTTTTACCATAGGCTTTTTCAACTCAAAGATAAATACGTTATGTAAGAGATCTGGTGACAGAGGATAAAGTGGAACATGACCTCACAGCAGTAACTGGCACAACTGGAACCCGGTAAAAAGTAAATTTGTTCAAGAAGCAGGAAACGAATTTTCAGCAATTTGAATTTTCTATACACCAGCAGTGGTCAATAACCCAACGTTGGCAGTTAGGATGAAATTTGTTAAATTGAATTTTTTAGAAGTCAGTTTACCCTCTAGTTTTGCATTTCTTACTGTTTCCTAAAATTTGCCCTTTTCAATTGTGTATTCCTGCCAATATATTCTAAATTACAAATATAAAAGAAAAGCTAATACATACTAGATATATAAATTATGTGTTCTGATTGTTTTATTGTCAGGTGTTTTAAATGTTTTTTTTTTAAAGTTTATGGAACTTAGGTTGTTGAGCCCTGGTTAACTATTTTTGAGGCTTTGTCCTAAAAGGCATCTGAGGTACATGAAACAGTGTGGAGTTTTATAACTTTTTTTTTCTATCAGAATGAAATGAGAACTGTTTAAAAGTTTGATACTTTTAAATAGTTTGGGGTTTTTTGCTTACTCTTGGAGTGGTGACTCTACAAATATGTAATAAATTGTTTTTTGATTCTATATTCTGTCTCCAGTTGAATATACCTTATTCTGTTGTGCTTTAATAGGATGGAATGTTTACAGGCCTTGATGATATTAGAGTATTTTTTAAAAACCTTCTGAAGATGTATACCAAAGTTTTCCAAGAGGATATTATAATCAATTTAAGGTTTTATCAGATTCTAAAATAGCTGTTATTAAGGCAATTTTATGTTAGAGACTATTTTGTAATGTAGTGAATGGTACATTTATATAAGAAAAGCAACTGCCAATATATTTTTATAGCTAATCTTTACAAATTCTAATGTTGAGTTTTTAAATGATTATTTTAAATGTTTATATAGTTTTAGTAAAAATATTTTGCATCTCAAAGTATGATTTTTATATTATGGGAAGTAAAGTTTCTTGATTGGCTAATATTTGAATTGTAAGTTTTATATGCAACTCATCCAAAGTTTAAAACTGCTGTCGATGCACCAGTGTTTAACTTCTGTATTCCAAATGACATATATTTTGAAACTGTACTGCATAACTGTTGTGCACTTCTTAACACAATATGTATCATATTGTCTATGAAATTAAAAGACATTTGATAAAGTTGTTTGCTGAATGTAAAATATATTGCTTAATATATGGATAACAAATTTCCTGATGATCATTTAATTATAATTAGTTTGACTAGAATTTTTTTCCTTTCTTGTGTTTTCGGTTTTTGTGCCACACTTAGTGATGCTCATTGCTTCCTCCTGACTCTGTTCTCAGGGATCACTCTGGCAGCTTCAGAAATTATATGGGATGCCAGGAATTCTATCTGGGTTGACTGCATACAAGGCAAACGCCCTGCCTGCTGTACTGTCACGCTGGCCCCTCTTTTCTTTTTGTTTTGACTGACGGTCACACACACTTGGTGATGGTGCTTACACACCGTCCTGGTGTTTGACATATGCCCGATTGAGGGAAGGATAGAGGAAGGGAGGGAGGGAGGGAGGCAGGGAGGGAGGGAGGGAGAGGGGAAGAGAGAGAGAGGAGAGGAGAGGAGAGGATTGTGGTCCATACAACATATTCTTTTTAGAGGAATATATAAGTTTGATTCCATCAGAATAATGGTGACTGTAGTTTTTATTCTGTGAGTTTTTGGTACATGGATAAGGAGCCTGTTGAGAAATCCCATTCTTTCACTATAAGAACCTCTTTTTGTGTCCTTGAAGACATTATGGTTGCTTAGAGGCCATGAGTCCACCGTCTTCCAACCTGCAGTCTTGTGGCTAATAAAGATCTCTATCAACCCATAAAAATAGTAAATAAAATGGAGCTCCAGGGGCCAGGGAGAGAGCTCAGGGGTCAGATGAAGCTATGTTTGATCTTTGTTGCTCTGTGTTCCACTCCCAGCACTGTGGGGCAAAGCACTGAACTGTCAAGCCCATACAGCCAGGCCAAGTATCACCAGGAGTGAGTCCCAACCCTCTCTTGAGTACTACTTGGGAGGTCTTTACCCTGGAAAATAAAACATAAAATGTAATGCCTTTCACAGTAGCAGTTGTGTAAGGAACTCTGATCACCAATGGTATTTTATCATGTTCTAAGGCCATACACTCAAACAGGCAGCTCATTTGACCTGAAGAGTATGAGAAAGTATAGGTTATGTATAAGTTACTGGGTTATAACAAGAAATAATATAATGGGTAGATATTAAAGCTTAGCTGTAGTAATAGGAACAGTTACACAGAGCCCCAGTAGCCTGACTCCCTGTGCCTTTGTGTTTTGTAGTGGCTGTTGTGAGGACACGTCTGGTGTAATGGCCGCACATCAGGTTGCAGTGCTGTCACACTTGGCCATGTGCTCCCTGGAGATCACACCTTTAATTGTGTTGATTTCACTGGCATCACACTCTCTTAATTGAGGTGTGATAGTGCTGCTCAGAGCACACTTCTGACCCTGGTGCTCACACGTTTCGTTGTGTCACTTGCTGGGGGCTACACACACCTAATGGCAGTGGCTTGAGCTGTCACACTTCACTGAAAAACAAAGCACATTTACACTAAAATTATACTATGAAATAGGATTTTAAGCAAATAGTAGCAGATTTTTTTTGGTTTTTTTTGAATTTTCATTTTGAAATAATTACATAGAAATTTCTCTTACCACAAAGGAGTATATTTTACTTACTGTTTTTAAAATTTTATAAGGTTGTTCACAATAATTTATTACATTCAAAATTCTAACAACAGTGCCACCACCATTATACCTTACCACCATCATTATTTTGAATTTTCCAACCACCTTCCAAGCTTTCCCCAAAGACAGGTCCTAAATAATTTATTTTGTATTGCTTATTATGAATAATCTGCTAAAAATGATCCCAAAAGGTTTCCTTAGAGGAAAGTGTATGAAGATTGTTGTATCTCAGCTTGGAATGATAAGCCCTCATATAAGAGATTACTAACATGGTACAGGTTAAACCTTGTGTGCTTTAGCACAGCGGTAGGGCGTTTGCCTTGCATGCAGCCAGCCTGGCCAAGTCGGGTTTGATTCCTCTGCCCCTCTCAAAGAGCCCGACAAGCTTTGCCCGCATGGCAAAGCCTGGTAAGCTACCCATGATGTATTCAATATGCCAAACACAATAACAACAAGTCTCAAAATGGAGACATTACTGGGCCCGCGCGAGCAAATCGATGAACAACAGGAGGACAGTGCTACATATATATTTATATATATATACACACACATATACATATATACACACATATACATACATAATATACACACACATACATACATTTATTATTATTATTATTTTTGCTTATTGGGTCACACCCGGCGATGCACAGGGGTTCCTCCTGGCTCTGCACTCAGGAGTCACTCCTGCTGGTGCTCAGGGGACCATATGGGATGCTGGGAATCGAACCCGGGTCAGCCGCGTGCAAGGCAGATGCCCTACCCGCTCTGCTATCGCTCCAGCCCTTATTATTATTTTTTAATCAGGTTTAGTTTCCTTCTACTTTACACCCCATCAATTGTGGCAGTCTCACAGCCGCTAATGCAGCTGCGTGCTCCAGGAATTCTAAAATTTTAAAAAGGGTGGAACAGTTGGAGTTAAATTTTCAACTGGGTAGTGACTTTGGGGCCAAGAGGCATCTCTGCAGCTTCCGGCTCTCTTCTGAGATTTGTTTGTGAGTCTGGATCATGGCCACTAATGTGCTTATATGGCCCCCAGAGGGTGTGACTGCCAGGCTCCTGGAAAAACAGGTAGATGGGGGGAGGTCACCCATTCCCAACTCGATGCGAGCCTGGAGATTTCAATCACAAAACCCCTATGTATACCTGAGTTTTTCAGCAGAGTCATTCTCCTGCATTCTAAATCTGTGGAGATCGGCCGTGAGCGTGGCAGATTAGTAGATTTTTAATACCTCTCGTTACCAAAAGCAGGAAGATGGATACAGATTCGAATTTAAAAAAAAAAAAACTTGGAGGCGGAGGATGTAGTTCAAGTGGTAGAGTATTTTGATCCTCACGAAGTGTGGTCCAGCACTGCCCCTATGACAGCCATAACAAGAAACTGGGTACTAATATCTGAATTCACTGTAAGCAATCATTGTTTATAAGACACATTGTTTAGTACTATGAAGACAAACCAATGTCTCTTAAATTTTGACATGCCATCCATAGAAGTATTTCAGGTTTCAGGGTCAGTGACAAGGGCAAAGTGCCACCACACACACTGAGCTTGATCTAGCAGCTGTGGTGTTTGATCCTAACAAGAATCGGTTGCCTGTGGGGCCACAAGCAGTTTCCAGCTGCTCTGCAGCCAGACGTGTGAACACGACAAAGGAGCGAGACCCCAAGTGAGCACCACTTCAAGATGTGCCAGTACCACAGCCAGGAAGGTCAACCCCTGGCAATGACCCATGTGAACACTGCAATAACCGCTGGAGAGCGCTCCAACCAGAATGTACACAAACACCACAAGGAACGAGTTCAACACCACCGCTCCTCATGAGTACAAATACAAGCAACACAAAGGAGTATAAGCCTCAGACTGCACCATGACTGAGTGTGCAAACCCCACAACCCGAGGTGCAATCCCCAACAAGCACTACAGCTGAAATGTGCACGCACCACTTCCAGGTGTGTGTGTGTGTGTGTGTGTGTGTGTGTGAGAGAGAGAGAGAGAGAGAGAGAGAGAGAGACCCCTGGTAATAGCAACAACAGCTGGAAGGGAGAAATGGAGGGTAGGAAGTCATAAGTTCATTACAGACACGTTTCAATGTGGAAAATGTGCACCTTAGGCAATGCAGTGCAAAATACCGAGAATATTATTTCAAGCACATGTAAGTGCTTATGGATCCAGGGAGGTGTTTCAAAAGACCGAAGAACAGGCTTTGCATGCAAGAGCTCCAGATTTGTCCCAGCATCTCAGGGATCCCTGAGTACTGCCAGGTGTGACCCAAACACCCCCTCCCACTTTTTAAAACTAAGAAACTTAAAAGAATGTTTGGGAAAACAGCCATGTGTTGGGCACTAAAGTAAGCTTCAGTAAGTTTTGATTTTCTATGAAATGCATTTTCTATATCTTTTAATATGATCATACGGCTTTTCTTCATGCGTTCTGTTTATTTGGTAGATTTTTACTAATTTTCTAATATCAAATCAGTATTTTATTCTCAGGGTAACTACCATTTTATCATGATGTATAATTAACTTTTCATAAATTCTTGATTTATTTTGCCAATTGTTTATTAAATGTTTTTGCATCTCTGCTTATGAGGCAAATTTGTCTGCAGTTTTCTGCGCTTATAATGTTTTCTGCTTTATTTTTGTATTAGTCTATGACTAGCTTTATTTAATAACTTACTATTAAAGATTTGTAATCCATAATTTAAATGTGTTAGCAGTGTTATAATTGCTCAAAAAAAAGTTCTATATCTGGATCAGAGAGATGGTTGAAATAGCTGAGTTCATACTTCTTTTTTTTTCCTTTTTTTGAGTCACACCCAGCGATGCACAGGGATTACTCCTGACTC